GCTTCTCACATGCAGCGGTAAACCTATTAAATACTTTTACTTAATACTTTAGAACAGCGTTTTCTTAAACTTAAGAAAAAGCTTGAACCTACTCTTACTGTAGTTATTACATTTTAATCATTATTAAAACTTACCGATTTCACTATCTACATTATGCGTATGCATCGAAAAAGTCGATTCTTGTTCAGGTTCGACGGAAGTAGAATCACCATGAGAAGTTTCTATACCTGATAAGTTTTTTGTTATTATAAACATTTTTTCTGTCAAAAAAAGTATCTCTACCTGTGTGCGGATGTGTCTCCGAATCACTAGCCGGTGGCATGCAAATGTTAGAAGGAGCTATAAAACTTTTGGGGGGGAATAGCTTTTGTCAGCAGCGTCTTCCTTTCGGGAGTTTGTAATTGAGATACTATAACATGGTTATTGCATACCGAATAACAGTAGTATGAGCTAATTTAGACAATGCTGGATTATTCACAACGTCCATCCAGTGTTGAAACATAATCGCACCATGAAGAAACATGTGGAATCTCACATCCGGATTTCCGTTACGATTTTCGCACGACAAAAATGCACACTTTTTATAATAAAGTCAAGGCATGATCTGAAGTAATACATAAATAAGTCAGTGGTATCTTTTCCTCTAATTATCTATATTTTTTTAGCACAACTTATAGTATGAACAACAATATCAGACAAGATCACTAGCAAAATCGAGTCCAACACGTGTTCTGCAAGAAGTAAAATGCAATGCAGCAAAATTCTTGTTATACGGCAACTGCTGATCATACATAAAGACGTGCTGCTGATTACAGTGATGATTAACGACAGCCACATGGCGAGTTTCATCTTTCTTCCCGCCAACAACGCGCCTCTTGCATTTGTTTACCGAACTAATTTTGTGGTCAAGGCTATCCCATTGAGTTGTCTTGGGGATGATCACCAACAGAGACTCACTGTCATCAATGTCTATGTGACTCGCACCTAGCGGCAGTTATATGCGAGTATCTTGACAGCTCCGGCCCCGGTGAATGGCGCGCAGTTTGAAAATTTACAGTGAGTGCCGTGAAGCATTTTTGAAAAACAAATTAATATATGAATAAATTGCATTAAGATTGGTAAGAGGGTTTTGCGAATTTGTCTGCTGCAGCACTTCCCAAAATGTAATGATGATTTTTATTTACAATTTACTTAAAACGCAATATTTTTGTATAAACTATTCCAGTGAATGTTGGTACCATAGTTGAGGAGCACCCTGTATGGCCTATACTTTTTGAATACTTATTAGAAATTTAAGGACTTCGGACTAGTCGAGTTGGTTTTCTCTCTCTTTGTGAATGATGATGACGAGAAATCTATGATTGTGAGCAGTTAAACCAAAAAAATTTAAAAAACCGTTACAAAAGACACGTTTATGGTCCTTAAGTAGTTCCTAATTTATTTTGGCCCCAAATAGTAGTGAAGACATTTTCGGTTAATTTGGAGATAGCTAAAGAAAATTTATGGTAAATATCCGATTGGGCAAAAAAATCGGAATTAAGTTGCAATCAAATATTGCGCAGGAACGTGAATATTGAGAAATACGCTTATTTATGCTCAAAAATTGTTTTCAACGTCAGATCATACTTTACACATTCAAGATTTCTATAAAAAAAAGCCACCAAAAAAGCCCGTTTATGGCCCTTAAACAATCCAATTTACTTTGCCCAGAGATAGTTTTAAAGCACATATTTTTCTACTTGGCGATAAATTAAAAAAATTTAAACAAAAAAACTTGAATTGCCGGAAAATGGATTTTAAAGTAAAAATATTCTAGAATGTTTTACCCTCATAATTTTTGATAAACCTGTAAGCTTCAGTGACGTCATTAGCAACACATCAATCCGGGCGCTCATTGAAATGCGCAACTTCTGTCGACGTTGCCGCGTTTGTGATTTAGTCATTATTTTTGAACATTTTACACATTACAGCGCCAACTTTTGTTGAAAGAAACTAATGAGCTGCTTCACCAATAAAAATTTTTCAGGGTCACTAAAACCTGCTAATTCAATTAAGGGGTCTTATGCTGCAAAATTGTGCAAAATGTGCCTTTCTAAAGTGGGTGCCAATTAGTCCAAACTCCAGTCGAAATCTGGCAACACAACCAGCAGCTGTCGACTGTGTCAATTGTCAAAGTTTTCCTAGTCATTATCAAAAATCAACAATCATCCTATAGCTTTGCTAAGGAATTTTTAAATTTTCCAAAACCCTTCTGGATTTCGTGGGTGTGAACTAGGAATAAAATGTCGCGTGGCAGCAGCGCCGGTTTCGACCGTCACATCACGATTTTTTCCCCCGAGGGGCGCCTCTATCAAGTGGAATACGCTTTTAAAGCCATCAACCAGGCCGGCCTCACTTCTGTGGCTGTTAAGGGGATTGAAAATGCTGTTTGCGTTACCCAGCGAAAAATCCCTGATAAGCTCATTGATGCCAGTACCATCACCCGCTTATTCCAGGTAATAACACAGTTCCCTGGTTAATTCACCAGCCCCCCTGTTTTCCCCACGTTTCCGTGTCTGATTTCGGGTGGTTTTCAGCTAACGGATAACGTTGGATGCGTTATGACTGGAATGTTGGCTGATAGTAAGTCTCAGGTACAGAGGGCCAGGTATGAAGCTGCTCAGTTCAAGTACAAGAATGGCTATGAGATGCCCATTGATACTTTGTGTAGGCGGGTAGCTGATATATCGCAGGTAAGCGCTTGAAATTTGGCTCGTTTTTACAGTAAATGTGTGCTCAGAAAAGCACAAAGTGGTGTAGTGCTGAGTAAGCTATTGCTGTTTGCTTTCTGCTTATTGTAAGGGTTGTCTTGACTCTAGCAGTACTTATAAGTAGCTAACTGGTCTGATTACTGAACATTATCATGGTCTAAGCTTTGCTTCATATTTGCAAATGATAACACTTAGGGTGGAGAAACAGCATTATCTGCTTGCTTTAATGCGTCTCGGAAACATCAAACGCTGTGTGAAAGCAGGGAATAATTTAGTCAATTGGCTACTACAACGTATCTCTTCTTAATGTGCTTGCAGGGGTTTAAGCGTTATTTGTTCTAACAAGAGCAGATCAAAAGCCTGTTGAAAAGAAGCTTATAGTTATTGTAACTTGCCATATTGGTTTTTCTGTTCTATCCGAAACCGAGTGAGTGTTCACTTATTTTGGCTTACATCAGCGTATATTCGACATAAGATCCTCTAAGGCAATAACTAACTAAATTCAAAAATACTTATGCTTAAAAACACTGAAACTAATTTTCCTTAAGTCTTAAAAAAATCAGGTTTCTGGCCGATTTTTAAGAACCTCAGTAGTTGTAAGGCGAAGTGTCTGTTAAAAATGGTGAAAGTTTGAAATTGCAATTTGCCTTATTTGGGAGGCTGCGAATGTTTTAAAGACAGCGTCTGTGAGTAAAACGTCCATTGTGATATTGGTATTTATTAACCTGGCAGACAACAGGATTACGGGCGATTCTCTTGAAACTTTTTTGCAACTGTAGAGTCAAGTGTCTGTTAAAGGTCGTCAAAGTTTCAATTTGCTAGTTGCTTTAGCCTGGAAGGTGCAATTTTGTGAAGGAGAGAGCGCAGCTGAAAAAATGTCTTTAATATCCGTTTTTCCAAAGCTGGAAAAGATCACGATTCTGTGCGATTATTACCCAACTTTAAGCATCTTTAGAACCAAATGTTTTCTAAACATGATCAAATTTTCAGTGATGCTTGCTTTTGTTTGAAACATGCGAATTTTTAAAAGAAAAAGCGCAGTTGAGTTAATACATACATTTGAACACCGGTATTTACGAAGCTACATAAAAATCAGGATTATGTGCGATTGTTCCCAAACTTCAGCATCTTTAGAGTCAAATGTCTTCTAAACATGGTGATATTTTCAAGTTGCTGCTTACTTTAGTTTGGAGAATGTAAATCTTTAAAGTAGAGAACGCAATTGAGTGAAAACATCCAGTTTGATGCCGAGATTTACTAAGCTGGAAAACTCACGATTCTGGGCCATTTTTATGCAACTTTTGCCATCTTTAGTGTCATGATCAATGAAATCCACACGCGAATTTCTGCTGGTTTCGATTTCTGCTGCCACATCGGTTAAAAACCTAATATTATGTACAATTTCTGGTAAACAAGTGATTTATGGTAAAAAATCTAGCAGTTCTGCCTGATTTCAGCCAAATATTACATAATTGTTGATTTTGAGACCGATGTTTACTAAGCTGGCAAACATCAGGATTTTGGTCGATGTTTATGAAACTTTCAGCCTCTTTAGAGTCAAGTGCCATTTAAGGATGCTAAAAATTCCAAGTTGCTACTTGCTTTAGTTTGGAAGATGCGAAATTTTAGTTAAAAAATCGAAATTGAATAAAAACATACATTGTGAAACCAATATTATCGAAGCTTTTTTAGGATTATGGGCGATTTTTCTGAAAGTCGTCTACTTGCATTAATTGGGAAGATGCGAATTTTTTAATATAATGGAGCAGTTGCGCAAATGCATATATTTTGAGCCCAATTTTTACTAAGCTGGCAAAAATCAGGATTATGTACCATTCTTATCAAAATTTCATCATTTTTCGTGTCAAGGGTCTTCTAAGGAAGCTAAAAATTTCATGTCGCTTCTTGCTTTATTTCGGAAGGTGCGATTTTTTAAAGAAAAATACGCAATTGAGTAGAGACACACACATCACATGTTGAGACCTATATTTAAAAAGTGGGAAAAATTAAGGATTCTGGGCGATTTTCATGAAACTTTCTGGATCTGCTTGTCAAGTGTCCGCTAAAGATGGTGAAAGTTTCCAGTTGTTATTTGCATCTGTTTGGAAGGTGAGAGTGCAATTGAGTGAAAACGTTTTTTTTGAGATTGGTATTTAGTAAGCTGGCAAAAACAGGATTACCGGCAATTTTCATGAAACTTTCTGCACCTGCCGAGTCAAGTGTCTGCAAAAGATGGTAAACGTTTCAAACTGATGCTTGCTTTAGTTTGGAAGATGCGAAGTTTTTAAGCAGATAGCACAATTGAGTAAAAACGTCAATATTGAGATCGCTATTTAATACGCTGGCAAAAAGCCGAATGAAAGGCAATTTTTATGAAAGTTTGTGCATCTGTAGAGCCAAATGTCTGCTAAAGATGGTGAAAGTTTCCAGTTGCTATTTGTATCTGTTTGGAAGATGAGAATTTTTGAACGGTAGAGTGCAATTGAGTTAAAACGTCTATTTTGAGATCGGTATTTAAAACAATGGCAAAAAGCCAAATGAAGGGCAATTTTCATGAAAGTTTCTGCATCTGTAGAGTTAAGTCTGTGTTAAAGATGGTAAATTTGAAAGCTACTTGCGGTACTTTAGAAGATACGATTTTTTTAAGGGGAGAGTGCAGTATTAGTATGAATTATTGTTAAAGGCATGAGCAGACATTTCATCATGCTTGCAATTTTTTCATACTAATATTCAAAACTAACTACCAAATGTATAAAAAATCGATTGCCTGGCAGTTATTAAGGGAGCGGTAAATACAAAGGTTTTTCTTCGAAAAGATGGAAACACTGTAGATCTTTTGCAAAAGTGACCCTACAGAAAAACAATTTTCGTCGAAGACATTCGCGGTTTTTATAGGTGAATTCAACTCTAAGTAAAAGTTTGCTAAGCTGGTTTCTTTATCAAAACCTTGCCACGTAAACGAAGGGCTGTGGTAACTTTATGTTCAGTTAATGTACAATCGGAGTAGTTAATTTCCTAGTTAAAGACCCAAATGTTCCAAGGAAACTAATCATTTACCTTCAGGTTCATTCATAGCTTTTAGCGTCATTTTTCAGTCAATTACAGCTTTAACTGCCTAACAAAGCTCGATTTAAATGAAATTTGAAATTATTGTTCCTGTAACGTGTATCACATAAAGAGCAAAGACAAGACAGCGTTTTGTTGCTTTTGATGGCCACTATGCATGTTGTATCTAGATATTGGTGTGTTGTGGATAATTCATTCTGAACGTATTTTGTTAGCTTGGAGAAGCAAAAAAGAACAGTTGATTTTCGCTGTAGTGAGATAATCTTTTGTTGCGAAAAAACACCTGTTTTGGTAATTGATGGGAGTAAATGGTCCTGTTTGTAGGTCTACACTCAAAACGCCGAAATGCGTCCCTTGGGGTGCTCGATGGTTCTAATCGGATACGACGATATAATTGGACCGTGCGTTTATAAAACTGACCCAGCTGGGTACTATTGTGGATATCGCGCAATTGCTGTCGGAGCGAAGCAAACTGAAGCCAACAGCTTCCTGGAAAAGAAGTTGAAGAAGAAGCAGGATCTGCAGGACGACGATGCCATCCAACTGGCCATCAGTTGCCTGTCGAGCATTTTGGCCGTCGATTTCAAGCCCGACGACATTGAGGTGGCTGTTGTATCGAAGAATAATCCAAAGTTCACCGTTCTGGAAGAAAAGGAAATCGACAGACATCTGACTGTTATTGCTGAAAAGGATTAGGGTTTATAAGTTCACTTTTCTAAATAAATGATTTTTATTGTCGCAGTTTATTTTCCTATTAGTATTACAAATATTGTGGAGAGCAGCTCTTGAAAGCACGATTCTCGAATATACCTTCCAATAAAAAAATCCACGTTTACTTAATATAAGTAGGTAAATGAGCAATATCCCCAGGTAAGAATAAATAAATAAGTGCCTTATTTCCTAACTGTACATTACGCGCGAATAATACGTTTTTATATGGACTTGATGTTTTCCTTGTAAATGGGCCTGACTGGCCGCTGGCCCTTGTTGGAATGCTCCTCGATGATGGCCGGAACGAGGTTTTGCAAACTCTTGATTTTTGCGTCTAATCTCTCCTTGTGCTTCACTTCAGTGAGAACGCGATCCAGCGTGGCAACCACTTCATCCACATTTTCCTTGGTGAAAACCATCGGCGGCTTGAACTTGATCACGTTACATTCTGGACCATCGGCGCTGACCAAAATCCGTTCTTCTCTCATTCTGCCAAAGAAAACAAATTGGGGTTGATTGCGAATTTCAGTGATTTTTTTAGACCGTTTTACCTTTGCACGACTATTTGAGCGCACTCTTTGTTGGCTTTCCTCGTGTCGCGATCCTCCACCAAGTCGATTCCAACAAACAGACCAACTCCTCGCACATCACCAATCTGCTTGTGTTTTTTTGCCAACGTCTGGCAACTGTCCAGCAGATACTCGCCCACAATCAGGGCTTGTTCCATCAGGTTGTCGTTCTCTATTGTGTCGAAGACTGCGTTGGCAATTGCACAAGAAACCGGGTTTCCACCATACTGAAATTTAAAAATTGTTAGTTTTTCCTTGTTGTGTAGAGGATGCAATAAAATTATCCAAAAGTGATGACTGAATCCAAAAGCTCCATGACCAGACAACATGCTGTCTGAAACTTCTGGCCTGGTGAGTGAACAAAACTCGAAAATGTTGGTAAAATTGCATGACACGACAATGAAAAGAAGTAAATACTGTTGGCATCAGCTTTATGGGAATTTTTTTAAAACTGCTTCTTCGAATCTTTGTTTTTGTCAGTTTCTTATTGGCGCACTTTCGAAGAGTTTGAGCGTTCTTCAGTTTCTTAATTACGATACTTTCAACATTTTTCCAAAGTTCGCAAGTCCGCTTCCTCATGTTTTATCTCCGGGAGATTTTCGGAATTTTACAGACACAGAGACCTATAGAGAGCAATCATGCGAAAAGCGCAAAAGACGAGCAAATAAACCTGGTTAATAAATCTAAGAAGTGTATGAACGATCAATGGAACCCAGAACTTGAAATCAGGAGACCGAGAGCAGCTTTTATACAGCTAAGAAATTCCCGCGCTGAGCAGAACCTTAACATCGAACTCAGACACACGATGATTAAGTTATTTGTCTGGTGAAAAACCACCGATGTGCTTAGATCTACTGGCCTGGAACTTCCAACTCTTCCCACATATAAAAAAATGAAACATCTCCTATCCAGGACACATTTTACGAGGAGAGCGGCTTCCAACGCATAATACCGCAGATGGAAGGCAAATAAGACACTGTTTTGGCTTAGGAACATCCCCCAGTGCACAGTAATCGGACCTCAAATCGCTTTAGGAAGCAACAATGTGATAAGAACCTGCATCTTTGGACTTACAGTGTTGAAGTATTCAACTCCAGTGTTGAAAAAGCTGTCGGCGATTTCTCTGGTAGTGACAACGCAAGCGACAGGATGACCGTTTCCCATGGGTTTGCCCATTGTAACAATATCGGGCTGGACGTTGTAGTTCTGGAAAGCCCACCAATGTTTCCCTATGCGGCCGAACCCAACTTGGACCTAGAGAGCGTGAGTTAGCAAAGAAATCTGGGGTGTTTGGAGTGATTTTACCTCGTCCGCTATGCACACGCCCCCAGCGCGTCTCACGTGCTCGTAAACTCGGCTAAAGTAGTTCTTGGGAGGAATCACTTGGCCTCCGCAGCTTAGCAGGCTTTCGGCAATAAAGGCCGAGACTCCGGCCCCGTTCTGGGTGGATTTTTCGCACAGATCGCCCACTTCGTTCGCATACATCGTGCCAATTTCATCCATGCTGTACTCGTTGTCGCGATATCTTCCTCTGTAACTATCAGGGCATGCTGCCTAGAATTTCAACAAAAAAGAGTTAGTATTGCAGCCAAGTGAATTTAAGTATTTAAAGTCTCACCAAATGGACATGTTTCTTCTGTCCAACGCCTCCAGGGAGGTTAAACTTGTAGTGGGAAATATCAATCAAAGAAGTCAAATGGCCATGGTACGCACTAGAAAAAGACGAAATCGAATCTACCAGGCCTTCCCTGATTCCTAACTACCCCACTTAAGACTAAATGGCGCCGCATTTCGTATCCGGTTTGAAGCAAAAAGATACACACATTCCACACTAGTCGGCAGATATTGTGCGATTGGCCTTCGGTACTTACATGCCATTCGGATACCGCTTTATGAAACAAGCAATTAACCCGCAAAATATCTGGACTAGCTATTTAAACCCCATATTATATACATTTTTCTCAACATTCTTGATAGCACTGTTTTATATTGAGGACACGTGGCAAGGCTACTCAAAGGCCTGCCGTCTTCAGGCTGGCGGGCGATCATCACCGCTTATTTTTAATGCTGCAAGAGAAAAATAAAAACAAACGAATTAGAACTGTTTCTGAACTTGCCTATCCAGCTATAGCTATATCTAAAAGGAACCAAATCTGTAAGCTCACCCCCAAACGCAATTTCAAATGATAAGTGAACTCAGAAGGAGATCAACTTGAAACTTCTGGGGTTTCACTCAATGCATGTCAATTTCTCGTCGTTTGATTTGGTGCGTGCTTTAAAGTTATTGAGTTTGAATTGCGGGTTTCAAACCAACATTTGTATTTTGCGTTTGCACACTTTGCGGGCCAGAGCCTTGAATTGCGCACTTTTCCATACCAAAGATCGTTTGAGGAATGTCTCTAGCTTTGACGCAGAATGTGAAAAATCTAAGTAAATGCGAATCTTAAGAACCGCTCTTAGTGGTTAGCTCATATTTCTAGAACCGGTTGAGTAGGAAAGCTCTAGTGAGAATTACATGTTAGAACCTTAAATTGCGCACTTGTCTATACGAAACATTTTCTAAGAAATGTTCCTAGTTTTAGAAAATAGAAATAGAAAGAAAAATATGAAAAATCTAAGTAAATGCAGAATCGGTTAAGTACCACTCTTAGTCGTTCACTCATATTTAGAGATTCAGAAAAGTTGGGAAGTTCTAACTACTATTGCGGGATAGAGCATTAAATAGCTATTTTTTTTATGCCAAACATCATTTAAAGAATGTTTCTAGTTTTGACGCAAAAAGAAAAAATTCTAATCTAAAGCGAGTTTTAAGAACCGCTCTTACTCTTTGGCTCATATTTTGAAAACCGGTTGAGCAGAGTAACTCTAGGTAAAATTATAGGATAGAGCCTTCCATTGCGCACTTTTTTATGGGGGACATTTTTTAAGGAATGTATCTAGTTTTCACACAAAATGTGAAAAATTTAAGTAAATGGGGATCTTAAAAACAACTTTTAGTCGTTCGCTCATATTTAAAGATCCGGTTAAGCGGCAAAGCTCTAATTCATATTTCGGGATAGAGTCTTAAAAAGCTCTCGTTTTATGCCAAATATAATTTAAACAATGTTTCTGGTTTTGACGCAAAACGCAAAAAAACTGTTAATTAATGCGAGGTTTCAGATTGTGAGAACGCCTCATAGGCCTAAAAGCCGCTCATATTTAGAGATCTAGTGCAGCTGGAAAGCTCTAATTACTATTGCGGGATCAAGCATTAAATAGCTCTCTTTTTTATGCCGAACATTATTTGAAGTTTTGATGATGATTTTGATGTTTTTAGTTTTTACGCCAGAAGCGAAAATTCTAAGTTAAAGCGAGTTGTAAGAACCGCTCTTACTCTTTCGCTCATATTTTGAGGACCGGTCGACCGGAAAAGTTCTAGTTAGCATTACAGGTTAGCGCCTTAAATTGCGCATTTTTTTTTATACGAAGCATCATTTAAGGAATATTTCGAGTTTTGACGCAAAATGTGAAAAATCTAAGTAAATGGAGATCTTAACAACAGCTCTTAGTCGTTCGCTGATATTTAGAGATCCAGTTAAGCTGCGAAGTTCTAATTAATATTGCAGGATAGAGTCTTAAAGAGCGCCATTTTTTATGCAAAACATCATATAAAGAATTTTTCTGGTTTTTTCGCGGAAGGTGAAAATTCTAAGCTAAAGCGAGTTTTAAGACCCACTCTTACTCTTTGGCTCATATTTTGAAAACCGGTTGAACAGAATAACTCTAGTTAGAATTATAGGATAGAGACTTCAATTGCGCACTTTTTTTACGAAACATGATTTTAGCAATGTTTTTAGTTTTGACGCAAAATGCGTTTGCTCATATTTAGAGATTCAGTTAAGCTGTCAAGCTCTAATTAATATTGAGCGAAAGAGCCTTAATTAAATATCTTGTTTATGGGAAATTTGATTTAAGGAATGTTTCTAGTTTTGACGCGAAATGCGACAATTTTACGTTATCGCGGGTTTCCCCAGTCGGGAAGTGGCTCTAAGATTTTATCCAGCGGGGTAAAAACAGTTTTTTACAGAAGTTTCATTAACTTGTTTTGACATTTTGAAAGTCACTGGAACTATCAAAATGTTCACTCCCTTCTATATTGGTCCACTTCAACAGTTCCTTGTCCCGAAACAGGTTTTCTTAAGTTAGAATTTCCTAGACTAACGCACTTTTGGAGAAAATTCCCTTAAGAAAAAATCTACAAAAAACCTTAAAATCGCTAAATCTAAATCACATTCCCACAAGAGTCCATGTGAAACGAGATTTTCATTTTTTTATAGCCGAGAAGGAAAAGCACTATTCGCACGCGTTTATATATTTCTTCTTTTTATTCGCGTTTTTGATAGAAAATTTAGAATTATTGTGACCCTTAAGGAGCGTTTTTAGTTCGAAGTTCATTTTCAAGTTATGTGTTCAAGTGTAGTGTGAACTTTTGGACGACTAACGGGTAGAAAATGGAGGATGGGGCGCCAGCTTGCAGAGAACTAGTAAGAATTATTTTTAATCTATGAGTCTCATGGCTTCAAGTGATTCTAGTTTTTCGACATGCATCCGAAGTTTTACGCATTTAATACATTTCTCATTTCAATTTTTTCTGACTGAACTATTTCCTGCTATATTAAACACTTGCTTTTTTTTCAGGTGGCAAGATGCAGTTTTCGGTAAGTTTTGCGTTGCTTTGCCCCTGGTTGACCTACAGTTGTAGAATTTTTAGTCTCATATTGTTGAGTTGTATTTTATTATATTGTTTTTTCGACAAGAAGCAAGGAGGGAGTTTCTGGATTCGGTATGGGGATTTTAAGATTCGGTATGGGAAGTAAAAGGTTCCGCATCATTCTGGGACAGCAATGGAAAAATTAACGCAAAAAAACTGTTAAAGACGGATTTTAGGAGACTATCGATAGATTAGATCGACACTCTAAAATTTTGAATTTTTCCGAAACTGTTGGAAATTTTTTCCAAAAAGTAAATCGACGTTTGAGTGTAATCGTTTCCTTCGCGCCAAGTGAAAATTGGGGGAAAATCAAGAAAAGTTTCCATGATTTTGGAAATTTATCCATTGCTCGTTTATTAATTATCCCAGCGGAACAGTAAATACCGACTTATATATACGATATTTGCAGTTTTTTGAAAACCATATTTTCGCGATTTTCTCGAAACCGGTGCAGGCCGAACGCTGCAAAAAATCACCGTGAATGCAGCCCGACATTCTATAAAGAATAACGTTTTTCGCTTGGAAGCTTCGTTTTCGAGCAAAAAAACTAAAAAAAAAAAGAAAATATTTCGAAAAAATCCAAAGCTGCGAAGCTCTAATGAAAGCTTTCTGAAAGCCCCAGTCTTTATTCAAGATTTCACCTTTTTGTTCCAAACATCGTTTGATTAATTTTTCTATTTTTCATGCAAAAAGGGAGAAGAAAATTGGCAGAGTTTCAAAACCGCTATTAGTCTTGGGCTCAACTCTAGAGAACCTATTGAGCTACAAAAATCTAGTTGTCGTTACTATATAGGGCCTCAAATTGTGTGCGAATGTTTCTTAATTTTACGCAAAATGCAAAAATTGAACATTAACCCTTGACTCAAGTTAGAGGAAGCGATTGAGCTCTAAAGCTCTAGTTACGCGAGCAATATCGAGCCTTAATTTTTCTACACCAAAAATCATTGACTAAAACCCTAGGACTTTCACGCAATTTCAAGCCGAGGAACAGTCTGGAAGAAAAGCATTTGAAAAATACAAATTATAAGCCAAAATCATTTGCTACTTGAAAAAAATTTCACACGCCTTCAGCCACACAACAATCTAATCAACCCAGGAAGATCTCAGATGTGAAGTGCTTCTGAAAGAAAGACGCTCATATTCTCGATCCATTCAAGACACTTACTGTTCCAAGGTGATCACGTCCCTGTGCCCGGTATGGATCTGCGCCAGTCTCAGCGCCAGGTCGTTGGCTTCTGAGCCGGAGTTGACGAAGAAGCACACCTCCAGCTTATCTGGTAGAGTGCTGACGATCTTCTGAGCGCACACCACGATGTTGTCATGCAAAAAGCGATTGTTGGTGTTTAGAACCGCCATCTGATCGCATCCGGCTTGAACAACAGCTGGATGGCAGTGACCGACTGGAAGCAAACAAACAATGTCAGATCAGAAACTTTCCTACGCACATAAATCATTGACTCTTCTAATATTAGCGCTGCAAAATCCATAATTAGCGTGACTTTGTGCTGAATTAATCGCGTTAATAAATAGACTTAATTTTTGGCCGATAACACGCCAATAACCGGTTTGAACCACTCGAGGCAAAAACAAGAGCAAAGGAAAAGTACTAATTGTTAATTATCATTAGCAGTGGCGCCAATGCATCCAGTCAGCCGAAGTATGTTGCAAACTGGGTCTGGAAAGCCCACATTGGGCAATATTAAGCCGAGGTTGTAATCGGCGTACAAATAAACAGAAATAAATGGATGCTTACAGCCCAAAGGACGTGTGGACAAGCCATTTGTCCTCCTCATTCACCTGATTTAAATCCCGCGTTTTGTTGGAATTTTGGATCAGACAGAATTTAGGCAAAGTTAAGGTTAAAGGGCATTTCAAATTGAAAAACGATTAAGGAAAATGGCAAATCCAGCACACGATAATTTAACTAGAAGGGCCACAGTACTCTACTAATGGGTTTTTCTTCTTTCCAGTTATTAAAACCGTATTATTTATCGATTAGAACTATTAAAAGGAAGTAAACGATTATTGAACGTACACATGCATTTGAAATAGACGTGTGAGATTGGAAAACAGGAAAAATTAAGATGGGTTTGTTAATTTTAAGTACAAAAGTCCAGTTGGTTCACGTGCTGATTTGAACTTCTGCTAACATTTACCTGATAATTTTAATCTAAATCGTAGCAGATTGCGTTGTAATGTAACAAACAGATTCTGAAAATCTGAATTATAAAAGCGCGCAAAAATATGGCAAAGTTAACGCGCTTAAATTGTCTCAACAGCACAATTTTTCCACTAAGAAATGTTCATTTGTACTGGAATTATCGGGCAGAAACACAACTCAAACGAGCTCAAACAAATCGAAACATCGCGTGTACCAGACGTGCAGCCGCAGCAAAAAACTTGTGGAATAATCGGAGGAAGCAAATGAAAAACCGCGTTAAAGGCAAAGTAATTAAGACTAAATGAAAGTAAAAAAAAATAGTTACCATGAGCCACATTATTGATGCAGTCCAAATAGGCGTTGCTCTTCTCATCATACAGATATTGGGCTTTGCCTCTGACAATTTTCAGCGGGTCTTTGCGGAAAAACAGTTGACAGGAAGGGCTGAAGTAAAAAAAATATTCAGTTAATATTGTGCACAAAAACTATCCAAAAAATTAAAATCTTACCCAATCAGCTTCTCTCGTAAGGCGATAGTTTCCTCCTTTGGCAGCTGTTCCATTGTATGAATTATGATTCAACTAGTTAAACTAGAAATGAGCCAAATGTGTAGTTGGCTGTACGTACTAAGAATAGAACACTGAAGACTATAGTGCCTTGACGTATTAAGTACTAATATATTTATAATAGTCTGAGGAATGCGCGCGCAACTATTTGTCCACCACTGTTTCTTAATATAGGTTGTAATTATGATAAGATTCCAAATAAGCTTAAAAGCGATACACTGGCAAACACAAGTTAAATTGTTCGACTTGCACAAATAATGGAAAATGCCTGGTCATTAGTCCATTGGCGTAGGCGTTGCTAAGGACACACCCTGTAAATGTCTTCCATTCATCTAAGTATGTAGTGGAGAATCAAGCCGATTTATTAAACCGAAATAATTCACATAAGGTTACTGCAATGATATAATTGTTTTGTTCTGAGTGGCCAAATAACACGCAGTTTGTTCACTGATCTTTGCTGAGCAAATGTCACCTGAATGGTATTTAACTGTTAATTCCCAAATATGTTGATTGTTTTCGAACCACTTGCTAATTTCAATTGTTTCCAACCAACACGGTAGCTTACATTGTTTCCCTTTAATTAGCAGCAAAAGCTTTAGTTTTAGGGCAAAGTTTTCTTTATTTTTAAAGGTTTTCTTAAAAGTCACTTGGTTATTTGCACATGATTCAGGCCTACGATTGGTGAAAATGATCTTATGAGTTGAGTATTAACGAATTTGGTAGTGTGTTTCGCTAGTACACATGTCTACCATCTTTAGAAGTGTTTTTTTAAGACATTCCAGGAACACGTATCTGTCGTTAACGTCCTGCAAACTCGAAAATACTCAATTGTTTTATAGCTGGAAAACCAAATCATTTTTGATTGAAAAAAATTGAAATTTCGAGTGCAAGTGACGTGATTGTATAAAAATTGCAAAAGTTCAAAAATACCTGCTTCAGTCTGAACTTTTGCACTGAGCGATTTGCACCAAATTTCCAGCCAATATTAAGAGCAGTCTTTTTAACTGATTTCTGAAACCTGCTGGTCGATAAGTTACTTCGTTTTGGAGAAATCGACGTTCAAAAGCTGCAACGTCAAAATTCAAAGTGAAGGAATCGCGGCCAAAATTCAAAAATGTATACCGAAGTCTTCACTTTAACGATTGCAACTAAATTTTTAAATGCTGTTCTAAGAAAGCTTTTCTAATCGACTACCGAAATCCATTGGAAAAAATCTAAAGAAATTGATATTGAAACGTTGAGGTGCATAAGGGCAAAATGCACCCAAATTCACAGGGTTTCTGAATGAAAACCTTCTTATGAGATTTTTTTGAGAGTTATAGATAAATCAACTTTAGAAATATTTACTGCAAATGTGGGGTATTTGAAGAAAAATCGTGTAAATTCAAAATTGCATTCTGCAGTCCGAACTCAAGCGCTTTGCACCGAATTTCCAGCGAATATTAAGCAAAGTTTTTTGAACTGATTTCTGAAACCTGCTGGTCGATAAGTTACTTCGTTTTGGAGAAATCGACTTTCAAAAGTTGCAGCGTCAAAAGTCAAAGTGGGAGAATTGCGGTCAAAATTCAAAAATGTATACCGAAGTTTCCACTTTAACAATTGCAACTAAATTTTAAAAGTTGTTCGAAAAATGCTTTTCTAATCAACTGCTGAAACCCATTTGAAAAAATATGAGGAGATTCTATAAAAATTGATGTTGAAACGTTGAGATGCATAAGAGCAAAATGCATCCATTTTTGGCTAAGTTTGGAGATGCATATTAGTAGCAGAAATGAATCAAATTAAACCAAATTCACGCTGTTTGTTACTCAAAGTCTTGCTAATGGCTTTGTGAAATTAGCACGCCAATATCGGAGCCAGTTTTGGAGAAATCAGCATTCGAAACTCTGTGCTAAAAACAGACAGAAAATTGCAATGCATATTTTTAACAATTACCTAGAGGAAAAGTCGCAATTGAATTAGATAATTAAGAAAAAAAGGAAAAATTATCCTGTTTTGAAGATTTACATAACAATTAAATCTTTTTCTAAATTAAGTAAACCTCAACCACGTCTATCCATGCTCTCGTCTAGCTGATTTCAGGCCGCAATCTACTTCTACAAAAACCATCATTCATTGCGTAAGCTTTTTGTTAAAAGAAAGCCAATACAAAGGTGGGTTTTTCGTAGAAAAATCGTCGAGCATAACGTGAGCAAACATTTGATTTGGATTTGGAGTGTATTTGATTGAAGCAAACAAAATTCGACGCCATGTTCCTCACGTGCTACCATCACGTTTACCAAATCGCTATTTATTCATCGGCCGATAACACTGATATTCGTATCAATAAGCACATGTACTTTTATATGTTTATCCAGATTAGACGGTCGTAACTGGGTTGAAAGTGTGTCACAAGACGCTAGATATCTGGCTTTTCTTCGACCAGCTAATTAACCTTTAACAATCCGGATTCGGTCAGTTTTATCGAATATTCAATCTGCTGCATAATTGTTTCCTTAATTTTTCAATACGCATTTATATGCGACAGTTTCTCTTCACATGATGTTCTGAGCAAAGGTCACCATCTAATCATGCTCTTGAGTTGATCAGATATTTCAGCATCTCAACCATCATGCAGACACTGTATGCCCCAAAATTGAACCAAATCAGGTATTTAGCTACTAGTTCGATTGATTAACAAGTCAGGAGGAAGAACTCGCGGTCAATTCCTACCGGTAATTTTCCTTCCTCAGCTAGTCAAACCACTATCAAAGACGCAAGGTTAAAAAGTTCAATGAATGTACTTTGCATGCTTCTCCAACCCGCAGTTTCCTCATCAAAGCTTCAAAATAACCCGGAGAAAAAACTGCCCGAAAAACGCCCTGTTATTGCACATATGTGCTTCTCCTATCAGTTGATATATTATGTATTGGTGCGTCTCCCCAGTTATCAATTTCAAAGGTTAAAATGTTTCGATATGGCCATTTTCAAGCTGTTGATTGCAACACGTACATTGCTGCAGATCCATTACAAATGCGTAGATTCTTAACATTCAGAACATTGTTTTCGAGATTTTTTTTCTTCTGAAACACCTTGAGGTTTTAGCTAATGAAGCGAGTTATCAGAAGGCTGGGTTTTAAGTGTCTTTAGATTTAAATGCCCACGTTTTTATGTCTGGTTTTAGGAGTAAGGGGTTTCAACTGGGGAAATTGACTGAAAATGTGTTTTTTGTATATTCTTTATATTCTCATTCTGTGACTGTGTGTCTTAATTCAACTAATGGAATAAATAATTGGCAAAAAAGTTACAATTGAAATAATAAAAAATCGCATAAAACCACAATGAAATGAACACTTGGAGGTAAAAGCAAAACAGTCGAAGAACGTAAATACGTAGATAATTTATGGTTTTAAACTCGGATTAATCATGGGTTTTAAGAACGGTTAGAGAAAAAAAACGAAGAGGAAAATAAACTACTCCAACAGAAACGCAATAGAACCATTCTCTTTTGTAATAATCGATCAGAGTCCCAAATCTCTTTAAAGAAATTGACCCAGAAGAAGGTTTATATTCGAAACGTTTGACAATTTAACCGAAAATCCAACTTTGCCTTCTGATACGAATTCTAAAGAAAAGACTGAAAGTGCAATTGGTTGTCTCTCCAAAACATGATTCAGGTGCCACGAACTTTTTAAAGGAGTGGACTTTCGTTAAACGTTTCTGAAAAATTTTAATTTTTGCTCTTTAAATTCTCGTTTAGATTCCAGTTACTTTTTTCATAATTCCATGTTCTTTTTTGGTTTCTTCTCTTTCCCCTTTAGCTCGTCTTGTTAATTATTTTGTTTGTTTTCCGATTAAATCCAATTTCTGCGGTTGTGTTTTTCTCAATCTAGGGTTTATAAACCTGTTTCATGCTCTTTCTCGTCAGACACTGCGTTTGATTTTTTTTTATTGTGTTTTTTTTAGTGCATTTTTTAAGTGTTTCGAGCGTTTAGTCTTCTGCTGTCTATGGTTTCATATTATTAGTTACTGTTCGTTTTTTGTCTCATTGTTCTTGCCATTTCTGATTTAATTTATTTCTGACTATTTTCCAGTTTTACTTTTAATGATTATAAGGTTTTAGTCCTCAATTCAGAATTAGTAACAACTTTGTACATTTAATCCAAGAGCGTTTTATATTTGTTTCTTTTGTCTTTAACTTTTTTTTATCGTAAATATTTGTCCGTGTGATCATTAGCACTTTAACTTAAATCAGTTCATATATTTTACATTGTCTTATAAATATTTTTAAATGTTGTCAGCTTTTTCTTCAGTTCCTTACATTCCTAATTGATAATGCAATTGTTATATTTTACTGATTCTTTTTCGGATTAATTTCGTGCCTTAAGTCATGAACGCATTGTTAATTTTGTAAATCTCTGAATTTAAAATATTCAAAAACATTTGAATTTTTTCGTTTTTGTCCACTTTGTCACCAGTCTTCTATATTTCTTCCTAATTGATGATTTTTCATTCCGGTGATAATTAGCGCTGTGGTTTCTTCTTACTTATTTTTTTTTTGGTTTCCGGGCATATAGAGATCACAATTTGGACTTTCATTTTATATTCATGCTTTTTCATATATGTCATGCTTATCTTTGAATTTCTGTTTTTCATTTATTAATTCACTACTTACTACTAATCTATTACAACTTTTTTTGTTAAATTTTCTGTGGGAGACCTTCTAATGCTTCCCTTAACGCTTCATATTTTATTATTGTTCTTAATCTGATTTCTTCTAATAGATTGTTTATAAAACTGGATACTTTGCTTCCTTCGAACAGTTGCTTTCTTAACCGACTCTTCTAATTTCTACATTTTCTTGACAAACTTTCAAGATGTTTTGCTTTAATCCAAGATTTCCAGTGACTTTTTTTTTCTTATTGATGCAACTGTTTTGTTTGCCTGACTGTTTCGTGAATCAATTTTGTAAATGTTTGGCCTTAAGCTACAAACCCAAGATTTCCGTTTACTAAACCTGTCAACTATATCTATAAATATCTGGATTCTTCCATTTTTGTCAGCTTTATCCCAGTCTTCTATACTCTTTCCACATTGATGATTTCTTCATTCCTGTGATCCTTGGAA